TGAAATGGGATTTTGGATGTAAAATGCTTCTGTGCAGTACCTGCTAAACAAAATGCCTACTAATGGCTGGGCGCAGTGGCTCATGCCTGGAATCCCAGCACTTTGGGAGGCTGAGGTAAGCAGATCACTTGAGGTCAGGAGTTCGAGACCATCCTGGCCAATATGGTGAAACCCCATCTCTACTAAAAATGCAAAATTATCCAGGCCTGGTGGCAAGTGCCTGTAACCCCAGCTATCCAGAGGCTGAGGTGTAAGAATCACTTGAACCCGGGAGGCAGAGGTTGCATGAGCTGAGATCTCAGCAGTGCACTTCAGCCTGGGCGGCAGAGCAAGAATCCGTCTCAAAAAAAAAAAAAAAAAAAAAACGCTTACTAAGTGGCAGTGGTAGCTGCGATGCTATAGATGCTTCCCTGTCCCTAGCCCATCTCCTGCTAAATAGGGGGACCCAAGAGTCTGCTCATGGCCCCAGAGCGCTCATGGCCCCAGAGCGCTGCTGGGCCTCCTGACCCTCTGTCTCCCCAGACAGCACCCAAGAAAACCTCATTTGGCTCGCTGAAGGATGAAGACCGGATATTCACGAACCTATATGGCCGTCATGACTGGAGGTGAGACAGTGCCCTTAGCCTGCTGGGTCCCAGAGCAAGGCGTCCCCTTCACTGCCTTCCCTGCTCTGTCCAGGCTGAAAGGTGCCCTGAGTCGAGGTGACTGGTACAAGACAAAGGAGATCCTGTTGAAGGGGCCTGACTGGATCCTGGGCGAGATCAAGACATCGGGTTTGCGGGGCCGTGGAGGTGCTGGCTTTCCCACGGGCCTCAAGTGGAGCTTCATGAATAAGCCCTCAGATGGCAGGTGTGGGTTAAGGTGGCGCAGATGTGGTTGTGGGAGAGACCTTGTAGGTGGCTGAGGCTTCCCTGGGCCTTTGGGCTCTTTCCTCAGAGACATAGTATGAACGAGATAGGCATATGTTCCCCAGGCCTTATGTGGATGGGACTTACTCTGGACTTCCACAGGGGAGACTTATGCAGCAGAATCCACGCATGATATTGACTCAGGCAGACTTAGTTCAAATCCTAGTTCTGCCTCCTAAACATAGAGCTTTGGGCAATTTCCCAGCCTTTGTGAACCTTAGGTTCCTTTTTGTAAATAGCACAGTAATATCATTCAAAAATTAAAGAGATAATGTTCCTACAGCTTTTGGCCTATACGCTGGTTGGCACACAAAGCAAATGATAAACGTCACCTGCCTTACCTCCTTTTGGTTTTGGTGGTGGAGCTTGAGGAATGCTCTTTGTCACCAAGAGCAGAATCTGGCTCTCAGGGGCAGACACAAGGAGAGATTTTTGAATGAGCTGAATGAAGACCTTTCTTGTGGTTGTAGCTGCCCAAAGAGGGAATAGGCAGTGAGCTCCCTGTCATTGGTGGGGAGCAAGCAGAGCCCTGGGACATGTTGGGAGGGCACCAAAGGATTGGCTGTCAGAGGAGACATCTTTGAGGCCTCCCTGGGTGGAGTGGGGTGGCATGGAGTTGAAGACTCAGTGCTGGTGGCCCCGTATCCTGTCTGACCTGTGGACCCTGCAGGCCCAAATATCTGGTGGTGAACGCAGATGAGGGGGAGCCGGGCACCTGCAAAGACCGGGAGATAATGCGCCATGATCCTCACAAGCTGGTGGAAGGCTGCCTGGTGGGGGGCCGGGCCATGGGCGCCCGCGCTGCCTATATCTATATCCGAGGGGAGTTCTACAATGAGGCCTCCAATCTGCAGGTGAGCAGGAGAGACGTGGACAGATAAGGTGCTCAGTGTACACTCACGCCCCTCACCTGGCACAGTTGTTCTTGGGTGTTAGCACCTGGTCTCTCAAAGGTTGAACTGCATGCATCCCAAATGGGACTTGGCTCCCAAAGCCTTCTTCCAGGGCTCCTAATGCTGCTGGTATAAAAAAAATTTTTTTTTTTGCTTCAAAAATACAGTATTTATTAAAATAACAAGTACAGTAGCAAGAAGAAAGAAACTAAATGGAACTATGTGTTTAGGAAGAGAGCTGAATAATTATGAATATAAACAATTGCTATTTGGAGAAAATACATTACGTTCATTGCTTGGAACCATGAATAATATATCTGTAGGAAATGTAGAAAAATATAATAGGTTAAGACAATAAGGGTATAGGCAATTACTTTTTTTTTTTTTTTTTTTTTTGAGACAGTCTCACTCTGTTGCCCAGGCTGGAATGCAATGGCGTGATCTCAGTTTACTGCAACGTCCGCCTCCCTGGTTCAAGTGATTCCTTGCCTCAGCTTCCTGTGTAGCTGGAATTATAGGTGCTTGCCACCACGCCCAGCTAATTTTGCATTTTTAGTAGAGATGGGGTTTCACCAATGTTGGCCAGGCTGGTTTCACTCCAGACCTTAGGCGATCCACCTGCCTTGGACTCCCAAAGTGCTGGGATTATAGGAGTGAGCCACCGCACCTGGCCTACATTTTTATTTTTAATTTTATAAAGACTTATTTTTCCTTACAAACTGGGGTAGTTAGGAGACCTGATAATATCTACTTTGCTTTTATTTTCTTGGCATCAAAGCAGCTTACTTATGTGTTCTTTGCATGTCTGTTTCAGATCAGTCAAGTTTTTCATTTTGTTTTACTATTCATAGCAGGAGCATTAGGAGCCTCACCATGGGAGGCCTTCAAGGGCTTCATGACTCCTGAAGTTATAGGCTGACTACTGGGCTGGGGTGGGCTGGGGAACTCACACCTTTGTCCTGCAGGTGGCCATCCGAGAGGCCTATGAGGCAGGTCTGATTGGCAAGAATGCCTGTGGCTCTGGCTATGATTTTGACGTGTTTGTGGTGCGCGGGGCAGGGGCCTACATTTGTGGAGAGGAGACAGCACTCATCGAGTCCATCGAGGGCAAGCAGGGCAAGCCCCGCCTGAAGCCCCCCTTCCCCGCAGACGTGGGTAAGGCCCGGCATGATCCTGGGTCACACTGTGTCCTGTGACACCCAGGATGTGGCTAGGCTCCCCGTGGGTGGTTCTTTAGGGATTCCTGAGTGCTTTCCGGACTGGGGCCAGGTAGAGAGTAGGCTGACCACAACACACAGGCTCCCCCAGGGCCGCCTGCAGTCCCTCCTGCCTCGGCACTGTCTGTGCTGCTCTGTGGCCCCACCTCCACAGTGCCTGTTCTGGGGCTAAGGGCGTGGTGGTGAGCGAGGCAGTGCGGCACCTCTGGAGCGTGGGGTCCAGCAGGGATAAGAATGATAAGGAGATATTAGAGCAGGGGCTCTGCCGTGGGAGCAGGACCCTGGGACACACCTCCCTGCTAGGAAATCTGCATCACCCCCAGCAGCCACCAGTTCTCTTCCCATTTCCCCGAAGGAGTGTTTGGCTGCCCCACAACTGTGGCCAACGTGGAGACGGTGGCAGTGTCCCCCACCATCTGCCGCCGTGGGGGTACCTGGTTTGCTGGCTTTGGCAGAGAGCGCAACTCAGGCACCAAACTATTCAACATCTCTGGCCACGTCAACCACCCTTGCACTGTGGAGGAGGAGATGTCGGTGCCCCTGAAGGAGCTGATTGAGAAGCATGCTGGTAAGGCCTGGGGCCAGTGAGGCGTGTGGGGGGCAGGGGAGCGCGGGTGTCCAGGAAGAGGGCCTGGGCGGGAGGGCTCAGGAGACGGGGCTGACGAAGGGACTGGGCTCAGGACTAGGCAGGTGTGCCAGCTCCAGCACTGACCCCGTATCCCTTTGGGGACTGACTTGGGGCCCCAGGGGGTGTCACTGGTGGCTGGGACAACCTCCTTGCTGTGATCCCTGGTGGCTCGTCTACCCCACTGATCCCCAAGTCTGTGTGTGAGACTGTGCTGATGGACTTCGACGCACTGGTGCAAGCACAGACAGGCCTGGGCACAGCCGCGGTGATCGTCATGGACCGCTCGGTAAGGGCTCACACACCAGCCTGGTCCTTGCCATATGCCCTCCCTGGGCCTCCCGGAAAACCCTCTTGCTAGCACTCAGGCCTCAGTTGCTGTAGGCTGAGATAGAAGCAAGGTGGGAGAGGAGGGAAGAAGGCTGCTCTGGGGAGAATGCCCCGGAGTCTGGGCAGCACAGGGGGCCAGGGAGGCTGGAGGAGGCCAGATGCTGGGTGGGCTGGGAAGAGCTGCTTGAACTGGGGGAGGGGCTGCTGCTAGGGGGCTGAGGCCCAGGCTTCTGTCTGGCCCTGGGTGCCTGCTGATTGCCCCTCATCACCCAGACGGACATCGTGAAAGCCATCGCCCGCCTCATTGAGTTCTATAAGCACGAGAGCTGTGGCCAGTGCACCCCATGCCGCGAGGGTGAGCATCGGGCAGGTTGGGGGTTTGCTTGCCGTGGCCTCACTTAACCTCCACCCCACCATGTGGCCCTCACCCCTCAAGTGCCGCCCCACATCCTGGCTAGGGAGACCATCAGGCCCTCTCTTGTGGCTGTGGTTGCAGGTGTGGACTGGATGAACAAGGTGATGGCTCGTTTTGTGAGGGGCAATGCCCAGCCAGCCGAGATCGACTCCCTGTGGGAGATTAGCAAGCAGATCGAAGGCCACACCATCTGCGCTCTGGGTGACGGGGCCGCCTGGCCTGTGCAGGTACTCACTGCCCTTCTGCACAGCACGGAGGGTGGGTGGCACCAGGGGCCCAGGGTGTTGTGGGATTTTTGGACTCTTGTTTCACTGTCTCCCTCCACCGACCCCAGGGTCTGATCCGTCACTTTCGGCCGGAGCTTGAGGAGCGGATGCAGCGGTTTGCCCAACAGCACCAGGCCCAGCAGACTGTCTGTTAGCCTGCCACCCTGGCCTGCTGTCCTGCGTCTGTCCGTCTGGAATGCTGGACAATAAAGCGAGTGCTGCCCACCCTCTGCTGCAGCTGCTGTGACTGTGCTCTTACCCGTTACCCAGCACAGGCTCTTCAAGGGTGGGAGGGGAGAACAGGGCCCAGTCTGGCTCATGGCCAGAGAAAGGACAGGCTCTCGTCTGGCTTGAAGGAGATGTTTATTTCGGCTCCATGATTAGAGTGGGGTGAATGTGAAAGCGGGGAGAGAGGAAACACCCTCTGACTGGAGGTTGGGCATGGTGGGCGAGGCAGCACCAGGCTCCACCATTTTTGTGGGGATGTTTCAGGCAGCCGTAGTGGAGGGCGGTAGGCAGGGCTCATGGGCTAGTCGCTGAGCTGGACAGGCCTGCTGTCCAGCAGGTGCCACAGCTCCAGGCGGTGGTCGCTGTGGCGCAGGCACTCCCCACTGGCATGACTGCCCAGCTGCACACCGCCTGCCATGGGGGATGGGTCAGAAACTTCCAGGAGCCTACCAGGCCCCCACCCCAGCGCCTCACATTCCCACTCACCAATGAAGTCGTCAGCTGTGCCCAGGTCATAGTCCCACACAGACACCAGCAGCGTCTTCTGGGCCAGCTCTTCCCGTGGGCCTGAGTAGAAGAATTCCTGCAGGGAGAAGGGCAGAGAGGTAGGAGGGAGGTGGCCTCGGCTCTCGAACGGCTTAAGAATCAGGCCCCGGCAGGGGAGTGGGTCAGCATGTTAAGGCCAGGGTTGGCTGGAACCTGCCTGGCATGTGATTACCTCATTGAACTCTGGGTTCAGGGTCTTCCTGCAAACACTGGTCTTGAATTTAGATTTCTTCCCTGTATTTGGATGCAGGAAACTGATCGGGAGGATTGGTGGGTTAGGTGTGGCCCTGGAGAGGTGAGGAGCCACGGCCTCACCCTTACCTCCCGCCTGCCCACCCCGTTCACACTCACAGGTGCACGAAGGGGTCCGAGTAACCGTTGGCATCCATGGGGGCTAGGTGGGCACAGCGCAGCACACCCACCAGCAGGCCGCCCCGCTGAGAGCTGTAGCACAGCGACAGCAGGACGCGCCCACGTTCCTCCCTGGCCACCTCTGTCTCCACCTCCTCCTGCAGGTGTAGGCTGAGGTCAGCCACCATCCAGCTCAGAGCCCACCCCCTTTAGCCTCTGCACTCTGGACGGGAAGCTCAACCTGGCCCCAAAGAAATCAGGAGCCAATGACTTCATTGCCCAATGCAGCCACTCGCCCAGCGCTCTGGAATTGGCACATGGGTCATCTGTACCCTCCAGGGCCTTGCTGACCATGTGACCAGTGAGCTCAGCATGTCTGTCATGGAGGGGAAGGGAACTGGCTGACTTGCCAGTAGCTCCCTAAGTGGCCTCCTATCCGGTGCCATAGCCACCCCTGCAGGCCCGCAGCTCTGGGAGGATGTCCACCTCCCAAGGAGAAGCAGATCTCTTCAATTCCCAATTCCCAGAGCTGAGTGTCCTTTGCCACACTCTGAGCCCTGGTGCTTCTGAACAGGCTCAGGGAGGAAGCCTGGGGAAGACGCACTGCTCTCACTAGGGGGTGGGTTTCCCTTTGCAGAGAGCCCCCCCACCTTGCTCACAGGCGGCTCTCGGGAACTCAGGAGTGCTCAGTGAGCACCCACCATGCTCCGGGCACTCTTGTGCTTGGGATGTGGGGTGGAGGTGGGGCTGGTGCTAGGTGAAGTGGCCCGTTCGGGCCACCTTGGTGGGCCTCAGCCACTTGGGCTTAGCTAATCAACAGCTACAGCAACTTGTGGTTCCACCAGGGGGCAGGTGCCCAGCACTTTGGAGAGGAGCTGGTAGGGGGCCCTGTTCTCAGCCTCCCAGCAGCCCCTCCCCTACCAAGCCATAGGAGGTCTGGCCAGGTCTTTCGACTCCAGTGATGTCAAAGAAAGCCCTGCAGTCACCCTCACTGCCTCCAGACAAGGGCCTGTCTAGGACAGCCTGCCCCAGGAGTGACCCCCACATTGCCCCCAGGGCCAGACCCTAGCCAGGGAGCCCCAGCTATCTGTCCTCTTTTCCACCTCACCCAGCCTCCCATCTCAGGCCATGGACAAATGCCACAAATTTCAGCCTCAAGTTTGCCTGGGTCTCTCTGCCCAACTGTGCCCCTGAGGTCTCTGCTTGTCCCAGTGCCCCATAGCTCCTCTGGGCCGCCCTGGCAAGGGATTCACCCTCACTTTGCCACTGGGGGCCTGGGTGTCCCCTGGGGCAATGAGGGCTCACAGGGCCTGTGAGAGCTGACCTCAGGTTCCTCCAAGCCACTATTCCCCTGCCACCCCAGGCCTGCGCCCTCATCCCTGCTCAGCCCAGCTGTCCTACCCACCTGATAGAGGGACATGCCATGGGCTGTGTCCAGGCTCTTGGGCCTCTTGGTCTGAAAGGGCAGAGAGCCCGGTCATCCTGGCCAGATGCTGCCCAGGTCCCCCTCCCTGCTCCTCCCCTCCAGATCCCCCATCACAACGTTCCTGGCCCCTGCAGCCCCGCCCTGTGCTCCAGCCCCACTCACCAGCCTCCACTTCTCCAGACAGATGTTGAAGCTCCTGGCTTGGTTGGGCACCAGCTTCCTCAGGGGTACCCGCAGGTCCCCCAGGGGGGGTGACCGCCGCCGTCGCCGCAACCATGGGTCCTCACACACACATAGCCTGGTGGCCGCCCAGGTCAGAACTGGCCAGGACAGCCCCATCCCTCTGCCCCACCCCAGGTGGCCCATGCTGGATCCTCACCTAAGGGTCTTTTGTGCAGCATCCTGGCGGGTGAAGCCGTGATAGGTGAGTGTCTCCTTCCAGACAGGTACTTTCGTGGCCTGAACGGTGCGTGTCCGAAGCTGGCCAGCCTAGGGCCCAAGCAGGAGGGTCAGGGCCTCTTAGGGCCAAGACTGTCCTCCAACCCCCAACCCTGCCTCCCTGATAGGACCCCCTATTTGCACATCCCAGCAACTGGGACCAGGCCTTGGGGGCAGGAGCCAAGCAGAGCCAGATGGGTGCCCCAGGCTGGACCTTCAGTCAGAGGGCAGCAGTGGGGGTCTGGGGCCTGCCCTCACCTTGCTGGCCCCTGGCAGCAGATTGGCTTTGACATAGGTGTCCATGGAGCCTGAGGCCAATGGCTTGAGGCCCTGGGAACAGACAATGGGTATGAGACAGGCCCGTGGCCCAGCCTGTGTCCCAGGGATGCCCACTCCCATCCTCACCTTGGCACGATGAGCTGTGCAGTGCAGGGCACTGTTGTCCGCATCAAAAAGAAGTGTGAACTCCAGGATGCCCAGGGCAGCTAAGGGCAGGTGGCAGGCAGGGTCACCTCCTACCTCAGCTCAATCTGCCTCTGCCCATGGCACATGCCTCCTGCCTTGCCCTTCCATGGCCAGATGCCAGTGACACCCCAATCCCCAGCCTGACTGGGCTGAACTCAGGGTGTCCCCCTCCTCCCACCCCTACTCACTGCTGTCGTCTGAGTCTCCCTCTGGCTCTGGGTCGGGCTGTGGCTGGAGTGTAGAGCGAATGGCAGACACCGCTGTGGAACGAGGGTCCGAAGGGTGCAGGACGGGCTCCGCAAAAGGGTAGAAGTGGGGGAAGTAGTGGGAGATGAGGTGGATGGGCCGGATGGGGCCCGGGCTCACGTCGATGGCCATGTGCTCCTGCATGCTCACCCGGCGAGGCTGCCCACCTTCTGCCGCAGTGCCCGCCATGGGGGCCTGGATGGGGTTTGGAGGCGCAGGGACTCAGAGAAATGCCTGAGGACTGGGGCTGAGGAGAACACACGTGGCCTCAGAGATGGGGACCTGAGGACAGACGCAGGGTTGGGGGAGAGGCCAGGGGAGTCCCCAGCCTGGAGGGTCGTGGCGGACTTTGGAGGGGACCCAGTGTGCGGGAAGTCATCCAGCTCCCAGTCCTTACCGCTCTTGGAGCTACTTCACCCGGTGTGGGTCACTGCTGCTGGCGCTGGGTGTGCGCTTTTGGGGGCAGAGCCCGTGACTGCCGTGTCCCCAGTGAGCAAGTGTGACCCAGAGCTCAGAACCCACCCAGAGCTCCTTCCTAGCGCTGAGGCCTAGCTTCCCTCCTTCCTCTGTCCCCTTCACACTTCGTCAAAGGGAGTTATTTTTACCACCATCATGTGGCCCTGCACCCAGGTGAGGAGGCTGGAGGGCCGGAGGTGACAGAGGGCTGTGGGGGTGATAAGGAGTTTGTGGGAAGGAGGGAGCACGTGGGGAGGAGGGGAAGGGGCACATGGGAAGGTGGGAGGGGAGGGAGGTCTGGAGAGGAGAGGAGGGGAGGCACAGGAAGGGGCCCCTGTGATCCAGCCCCGCGGTGGTGGCCAGTTTACACTCTGAAACATGAACCAGATCATCCCGCCTCCACCCTTGCTTGGAATAAAATCTGAACCCTTTGGTGAGGCACGGCCCCTTTTCACCTCACCAAGGAGTGTCCCCTGGCATCTCACAGTGAGGGCCTGCTCCCCTCCCAAACTGGGCCACCCTCCCAGCCTTTGACCTGGCCACTCCTGCCTTTGCTTTCTGGGTCAACCCCTGCAGGGGATCTTGGCTGGTTTTAACCATCCAGCATTCCCTCTCCTCTCTTCTCCCCAGTTACTCTTTAAATGTTTAATCCACATAACCGTAGATACTTATGGGGTACAATCTGTTCTGATGAGATATGTGTAGAAATGTGATTTCTACAATATGCATTGTAAAAAGATTCAGTCAGTCTAAAAAAAATAAAAACAAAACAAAACAAAAAAACACTTGGCCAGGCATGGTGGCTCACGCCTGTAATCCCAGCACTTTGGGAGGCTGAGGCTGGTGGATTACGAGGTCAGGAGTTCGAGACCATCCTAGCTAACATGGTGAAACCCCGTCTCTACTAAAAATTCAAAAAATTAGCTGGGTGTGGTGGTGCACACCTGTAATCCCAGCTACTTGGGAGGCTGAGGCGGGAGAATTGCTTGAACCCAGGAGGTGGAGGTTGCAGTGAACCGAGATTGCCCCAATGCACTCTAGCCTGGGCGACAGAGCGAGACTCCGTCTCAAAATAAAATAACACTTAAAATGTACTTTTAAAGCGACTGTGAAATACACAAGGCGTTATCATTAGGGATGTTTGCCATGTTGTGCAGGTAGGACCTTCGCTTACTCTTCCTGACTGGAATTTTGTACTCTAAGAGTAATGTCTCCCCTCTCCAGCCCCTCATAACCACCATTCTCACTACTTCTAGTTCAACTTTTTCAGATTCCACATAAAAATGAGACCATCTGGTAATTGTCTTTCTGTGCCTCGCTTATTTCACTTAGCATATCGTCCTCTGGGTTCATCTGTGTTGTCACAAATGGCAGAATGTCCATCTTTGTTAAGGCTGGACAGTGTAGACAGACCATCTACCCATCCACCCGTCTGATGCTGGGCGGTTGGGTTGCTGCCGTCTTAGCCATTGTGAATGGCACTGCAGTGAACATGGATGCAGACACCTCTTCAGCATGCTGATTTCAACTCCCCTGGATACTACCCAGAAGTGGGGTTGCTGGATCACATGGTCGTTCTATTTTTAGTGTTCTAAGGGACTGCCAATTTTCCAAAATGGCTGCACCCAGTTACCTTCCCACCGACAGCACATAAGGCTTCCCTCTCTCCGAATTCTCACGAGCACTTACCTCCCGTGGTTTGGTAATAGTCTTTCTAACAGGCCTGAGGGGGTGTCTCATTGAGATTTTAACTTGCATTTCCTGCATGATTAGTGATGCTGAGCATTTTTTAATGTCTTCTTTTGGGAAATGTGTGTTCAGGCCCTTTGCCCGTGTTTAAATTGGGGTATTTGTTTCTTGTTATTGACTTGAATTCCTTATTTTGGATGTTAGCCCCTTATCAGGTGTATGATCTGCAAATATTTTCTCCCAGCCTGTAGGCTCTCTCTTCACTTTGTTACTTGTTTCTTTTGCTGTGTAGACGCTTTTTAGTCAGGTGCCATACCATTTGTCTATTTTTGTTTTTGATGCCTTTGCTTTTGGGGTCCTATCCAAGAATCATTGCCCAGACCAATGTCTAGAACTTTCCCATATGTTTCCTCCAAGTAGCGTAGCCATTCCAGGGTTTTGTTTTGTTTTTTAATTTACGACAGGATCTCACTCTGTCACACAGGCTGGAGTGCAGTGGCATAATCTCAGCTCACTGCAACTTCTGCCTGCTGGGCTAAGCGATCCTCCCACCTCAGTTTCTTGAGTTGCTGGGACTGCAGGCATGCACCACCATGCTTGGCTAATTTTTTTTTTTTGTATTTTTGTACAGATGGGGTTTCACTACGTTGCCCAGGCTGGTCTTGAACTCCTGAAGTCACGGTGACCCAGCTTGGCTTCCCGAAGTGCTGGGATTACAGGCATGAGCCATGGTGTCCAGCTGACTTCCGGTTATATAGCCCATTTCGGGTTGATTTTTGTATAAGGTATGAACCTCAATTGTTCTTTGGGAACCACTGTTTCTCAGTCCAGGGAGTTTCCCCTCCTACCCAGGCAAGCATCCCAGACTATAAATCAATGTATTGTAAACCTAACTGGCCATGTGATAGGCTCAGGGAAGGACATGTGACTCAAGGCAGAGCAGTGAGGAGCAGTTCTGGGTTAGGCTGGCTGGGAAGGAGCAGCCATGTTTTTTGTTGATGGATGCTGCTGCCCTCTTCTCACCTCTCACACTCTGCACTAGAGACAACCCCCCAGGGCTGAGGCCACCACAGCAAGAGGAGAGCCCTGAGCTCCTGGATCCAGCCCTACCTGAAGCTCGCCATGGCAAGTTCAGATCACCTACTCCCTCAACTCGTTTACAGAACCTGGTCCACCTAGTTGATGTATAATTCCACTACTATCTGTGATTAAGTCATGTGGAATCACATGATTATCTGTGTTACTTGGTCTGAGGTCTCCCCCAGACTGAGCACCCCCTCTGGAGGGCAGGTCAGCATCTGGCTGGTCCATAGCTGTGGCACACACAGCAACTGGCACACACAGGGGCTCTGCATGTTAGAGCTCCACAGTAACACCCAGCAGCATGTGTGCACCTACTCCTCCCTGGGATCACGGAGCCCAGCACAGGGTCAGCCAAGCACAGCAGAGAGAACAGGAGCCGCAGGCTGAGACATGGGCAGTGCAGTACCTAAGAGCACTGGGCTGTGGAGTCTGGGGGCCCTTGAGCAAGATGTCTGTCCTCCCTGAATGCAGTCTCACCAGCCAGAGACAGTGCTGGCCCCACCTCACAGGCTGTTGTGAGGATGAAATGAATTGACTCCAAGTACTTGGCACCCAGGAAGTGTCCACTGCTGTGGGAAATGGCCTAACTGGAAGGAAGAGCCCCAACCAGCAGCCTGGAGTGGTCTGCCCAAGGTCCAAGGCCCCAGTACAGCAGAAGCAGGAGCTCTAGAGCTGTCAAAGGCCTTTATTCAGTCCTGGAGTGGAGCTGGCCTGACGGGATGAAGCCAGGGGCTCAAAGCCCCTGGGTTGCCCAGGGCCAGCCAGGCGGGGCTGGTAGGTACCAGGTGCCAGCAGTTGCAGGGCAAACTCAGTGATGATAGCTGTGAGGCCCCAGACCCGGTGTGGTCCATGCAGGAAGACGGGTAGCGTGTAGCGGAAGTGGCCGCCCTGGCAGAAGTGGGTATAGCCCTGATTCTGCGTCTGCAGCAGGTGGGCCAGTGGCAGTGCGAACACCTCATCCACCTGCAGGCAGGAGGCAGAGACGGTAGACAGAGAACTGGAACCACCCAGCCACATCCCCCAGCTCACCTCCTCAGAGTTGGGCCTGAGGCTCTGGGGATCCAGTGGGCCCACACCGGCAAGCACTGGCACCACAGTGGCCTTTTGCTGGGGAAGAGGGCAGGTAGTCAGAGAAGCATGGCTTCAGCTGGGTTTGAAGGCTGGCGAGGGGCGTGTAAGAGGAAGACCCTCTTTGCCAAGCACAGGCCTTTGGTAGTCATGTTCGGGTCCACCCGTGTCCTCCAGCCATGTCGACTGACTCGGGTCCCCTCAAATGCACTGGACCCGTTCCCTCTGCTTAGGACAATCTCCCACTTGGCATTCAAGCCTTGATTCAATCCCTGCCCACTCCACAAAGCTTCCCTGACTCTAATCCACCAAGCTGGGTGGAGCTGGCACACCCCATCACCCTCCTCTACTCAGGATACCAGAGCCTCCCCAGTCCCTTCCTGAGGGGGTGCATGTGGTGGCGCATATAACCAGGCAGGTTTGGGGCACCCCTCCACACTACACCTGTAGGGGGTCCATGACCATTCTGGTCTCTGGGGGCCCAGCTCCAGGGCAGCCACAGAATGAGTGGGGTGGGGTGGCCTCAGCCAGGTGGCTCACCCGATCATACACAGGCCGCAGCAGGCCCCACACGTGCTCCTGGGGCACTGCCAGGCCCAGCTCCTCCTGGGTTTCCCGCAGGGCCGTGTGCACCACGTCTTGGTCAGCTGGGTCGCACTTGCCACCTGGGAAACTAAACAGACACAGGGAGTCTGGTCCTTGGACTCTTGGGGCCATGGAGAGGTCGGGGTGTCGGCAGTGCAGGGGGCCGGGGGCCAGTGGCCCACCGAGGCATCGCCTGCCTCTGTCCCTAATTTGCTGGGAGGCCCCAGGCAAGCCGCCCGACCTCTGGAGACCAGTTTACCTCCCTGAGCAATGGGGATAAGGGAGAGAGGCCAGCACAGGATAGGAGGGTCTGCAGCAAGTGCAAGAAGATCCTGGGGCTCAGATAACCAAATTCAGCCTATGGTGGCCCCCGTAGCGGGGCCCAAACGTCTCCGTAGTCGCCGGCAGGGGGCGGCGTTCTCCTTAGCAGAAAACAGCTCCGAGGGGTGTCCCGGGCCGAGGCGGGCGCGCTGGGAGGCGCGTGAGCGGCGCCGGCGCCAGGTTTAGTGCGCGGGAGCGAGGGACGCGGATCGCTGACCCCTTGCCGCAGCCAGTGGTCGGAGGGGCTCTCCCCAGACCCATTTTACGGAAGCGCAAACCGAGGCTCGAAGGGACTAAGTGCCCTGCCCGAGGTCCCTGCCAACCCCGGGCTCCGGCGGCCTCTGGCAGAAGGGCGGGGAGTTCCCGGCCGCTGTACCTGACGTCGCCCTGGTGTCTCCCGGTCAGGCGGCTGGACCGCAGAGTGTACAGCAGCGCCGGGACCCCGCGCACTGAGCAGAGCGGCACGAGCACCGCGGCCGACGCAGGCCGCGCGCGGAGCCGGGCCGTGGCAGTCGCCAGCAGCCGGCGGCAGCGCAGCTCGCCCTCGGCCGAAAGGCAGTCAGGCAGCATGTATAGTCCTGCGCGGCCCGGACACCTAGAGCGCGGGGTCGGGCGAGGGCAGCCGAGGGACGGGGCGGGACGAGGGAAGGGACGGGGCGGGCAGAGGGGGCGCGCTCAGCCCGGGTCGCTGGGCAGCAGGATGGGGAGCCGACCCAAAGCGTCCAGCCCTGGAGCGCTCAGCAGCTGCGGCGGCGTGGGCGGGGCCTCGGCAGGACGTGACCTGTGGGCGGGGCCTGTCCGGAGGCGTGGATGGGGGGGGTAAGTCTGTCCGGGGGCGGGGCCTGTTTGAAGGCGGGGCCTCGGTGGGACGCGTTGAAGCCCCTAGATGGGAGGGAGGGCGGCGGGGAGGGGCCTGCGCGGGAGCCGGACCGGGAAGTTACTGCGAGAGGGCGGGGCCTGGATCGGAGCTTTCGCTCCGAAGGACTGGGGGGCGCGAGGGGGGGCTTCCGGGGGCGTGGCCGGAAAGGCTTGGCCCGGCGGACTAGGCTTCCGGCAGGGATGGGCCGGGGGCGTGGC